TCATTTCACATTTCCTGCGTGCTATATCTCTTGCTCTTATCTGAATTTCCCACTAAATTAATTTGCAAAATAATTCCCCAAAATGTATTAGTAGATTTCACTGGTTTGGAGACGGATCACGAATTAATTTATCACGCGTATGGCATACTGCGCCATTTATAGTGATATAGGTAATACGAATTAAAAATCAATTTTATTGGCTATTTGCTGTTTTCGCAATTTTTGATAATTTATTTATAAAATGATTGACAAGCCGCAGTTTACAGTAATTCAAAAACGGCGATAAAAAACCCTAATAAAATATGTAAACAGTTACTATTTTTAATACAAAGATTAAGTTAATTGTATATGTAATACAGAAAACATTTTTAGACGTGATTGTGTAACATGTTTTTGATAAAACAAATATGTGTTCACGTAACATTAAAATTATAAATCATATACGCGTTCATGTAACATTTAAAAAATATATATTAAAAATGAGAGCAAGAAAAATAAGTGTTTTTCTGTTTTTTTATAATTTTACACTATAATTTTTGTAATAATTAATAAAAGTTATTTCATTTTTACTTAGAAAATTTTTAAAAATATTTTTTTTGATAAATTTTACAGTAAATTTTAAAAATAAAAATTCTGCGTATTGGTGGTGTTACGAAAAACATGAATAAATTCATAAATAAAAAGGTTTTGGATGTTTCCTTTGAATTATACTCTGAAGTCACAGAACAGATATACGAAAATATTAATAAGAAACATTTATAAGTTGTAATATTACAAAAAAGTAATAATAGCTTTATCCATGCATTATTTCAAAAATTTTTGTTTTTTTAGTTTTTTTTTATATACATATTTTATAAAAAAAATTATATATTAATATATATATGTCATAAAATAAGTTGCTTAGCAGTGTAAAAAATTTATGGGTTGGATAAAAGTTTGTTTAGCAGACATGAAAAATATTTGCTTATTAACTTAGTAAATTTTAAATTTTTCATCTGACCTACTATATATATATTGTTTGGGATCCTGTCATAATAATACATAACGCATCTCTAACCTTAAACGCAAAATTGTCATATATGTACTGGCAACAAATAGGCAATAGTTGCTTTAGTTATAAGGTACGCATTTCTGATAAATAAATGGACTGGCCATAGTAATACTTATCAGAACCCTAATCCTTTAACTAACTGACTTTCAAAAGTTATTTAAAAGTTACTTGAAAAATGTAAGCAGTAAGACGTAGTAAAATTTCATTTAATTTTGGTCAATACTATTCTATAATTTTGGCCAGAACTTTAGGATTGATAAAGTCTTTCTAGTTACCTGCCAGTTTTATGACAGTTTCAGAAGAGTTCTAAAAGAGTTTCAGGTACTACCAAATCACTACTATAACACCAACTTGAAACTATAAATTATGTATTTAAAGATTGGCCAGAAATTATACCATAGTTAAAGCTCTGAATGGTTTTAATTTGAACTGAAAACTGATCCAAAACTGACCAAAAATTCAATTTAGTTCTCAGTTCAGTTTTGGAATTGGAATCATTTGGTTCAGTTCAGTTCTATTTTATTTTAAGAAAAAAATGTGAAAATCAAAATAATTTGGCAACCAGTGATCATATAAAGATGAATAATAGCTCATTAGAATCGTTCTATCGAAATATATCGAATGGTGGTAATATTATTTCTTTAGTCTTGATATATCACGAGATAATTAATGTTAAACAATTTTTAAGAAACTAGCGCTAAAATCATATCTATTGATCCTAGAGAAATAATCTTGACATCATTTGATAGGTCTTAATGAGACAAATCTAATGAGCCTTTTTTCATTTTTTTATAATTACTACATAATAAGTTATCTTAATTTTCGCATTTTTTTAAATTTTTGAACATCAAAAAAATAAAAATTCTGATCTAAGATATAACCCATCATCTACTGATTGCATTAAAATGATCTTTAACTCATTAGAATCGTCTCAATAAGACGAATTGAATGATGGTAAAATCATGTCTCTAGTATTGGTATATCACAAGATAAATCATGCTAAACAGTTTTAAAAATCAGCATTAAAAAGGTATTTATCAATGCTAGAAATATGATCTTACTGTCATTCAATTCATCTCATTGAAACAGTTTTAATGAGCTAAAGATCATTCTAATGCAATCAGTAGAGAATGGGTTATATCTAGGGATGTAAAATTACTGTAATTTATAAAATTTATTGTTACGTTATGGTAATTTTCTATAAGTTACGTAACTTACGTTACATTATGTTATTGTAACATAAAATTTTTTTTTTAATCAAAATCTGAAGAAACAATAAATCCCAATAAAAAAATGATATAAATATAAATATAAATACTGTAATTCTGAATGAACAAAAATACGACAAGATTGCAGGAATATGTTAAACTTGTATGATAAGATCATAAAAATAGTTGAATCCGAAACTGTAAAACATGATAATAGGCTACTTTTTATTTGTTAATGTTCGTTATAAATTATAAACTTGGCCAAGATTAAGGTAATACTGGCTGAATTATCTTAATTCTGGTAAACATATCAATACATATCAATGTAATGTTACATTCAGTCCATGTAACTTACAGTGTAAGTTACGTAATGTAACGTAACATAATGTAACGATTAGCATCCCTAGTTATATCTTAGATCAGAATTTTTATTTTTTGACATTTGAAAATTTAAAAAAATGCAAAAATTAGGATAACTCGTTATGTAGTGATCATAAAAAATGAAAAAAGGCTTATTAGATTCGTCTCATTAAAACCTATCGAATGATGCTAAGATCATTTCTTTAGGATCAATAAATACAATTCTAGTGCTAGTTTCTTAAAAATTGTTTAGTGTTGATTATCTTGATTATCTTGTGATATATCGAGACTAAAGAAATAATATTACCAGTTACCACCATTTGACATACCTTAATAAGGTGATTCTAATGAGCTATTGCTCATCTTTATATGATCACTGGTTGCTGAGTTATTCCTATTTTTACATTTTTTAAATACCGAACTGACCTATTTGGAGCTTTAACCATAATGCTAGCCAAATTTAAATATGGATTTACTATAAATTACTGCACCACCTGACACGATCATGCATTTCATCCATATTTACTAACTAATAGGTTATGGAAAGGAAAGCAGATTCTATTTTTAGAACCTATTAATTAGTAGATTATGGTATTCTAGGCTATATTAATTAATAAATTATGATGTTCTAAAACATATTAATTAATAGATTACAAGCCCAATGTGGGTATGCTTTATTGATATAATTCCATTTTTGTAACGCAAGAATATTAAAGCAGAAACAAGTCATGTGAATTTTGGTCAATAAAAAATTTATTATATAAACGCAATGAGAGATAACAGACAAACTTCAATAGCAAATATCATTCAGTAGTTGCAATCATTAAAAAATTACTCATATTATCATTATTTGCGACACTCTCCCATGTTAAACCAATTAATGAAAGCATCCTGACGGTGAATCATCATAATCAGAATCATTGTAATCATGATACATGAGTGGATTTATGAAACGTGAGTTTTTTCCTGCGAGTTTTTTTGGTGAACTCTTCGCATCACCTATATGACTCTTCAATATTGAAGAATGGGAATGTAAAACTGAATTCCGGCGATGTGACTTTTTGAGTTCCTCAAGTATCTTGAGGGTATCATCTAATCCCCTCTAAGCAAAAAAGATAATTATTAGAATAAAATGTTTCAATACTAATTTAATTCAAAGAATTACTTACTCTAAGATTTCGCAAAATCCTAAGTGCATTCACCAATTCATGATGGTCTTCCCAACTAATTGGGAGCCGAAAAGCACCAATGAGAAACATTCGGTAGGATTTTGAAACGGGTAAATCCATACCCCAAATTTGCACCTCAAGTCCTATATACAAAGATAATTTATTTAACAAGAAAAAAAATAAAGACCCAGCTTATATATTAACTTACCGTGTATATGAAAAAACCACGAGCGTAGACGTCTAAAAATTTTGTAGTCACCACGATTGTATTTTCTAACTATATCATTTAGAAGATCGCGACAGCCCCAATATCCTTTCACATGGTCTTTTAAGTATCTTGGCAAATCCGAGGTTAAGTAACCACCAGACAGCTCCACCATGCCTATTTCAAGGCTTTCTTCATCGGGGGAATGAAATGAACCATCTACTTTCATACCTAGAGGCTTGTCATCGTCAGGTTTTAGATTACATCGTAATAATCTCTGATTTGCACTAGCCTTTAGATAAATTTCGCCTCTATTTTGAAAAAGAGATAATCACATTTTTAATACTGTAAAGAAGAACGAAATATTAATTTGGTGTTTGATTCAAAAAACGTACGGCACATATATAACGCGGTCAGTTGTGTTAGTAAGGTACTGCAACATTGGATGAATCATTAGTGAACCCAGGAGTGCTTCATTTTTATTTTTGCTGTGGAAAGCCGACGCAGGGTTAAATACATTTTTCGTGCTTCAAATTAAATTTGTTAATTAAATAGTGAAATAAAAAAAAATAAACAGTACTATTTTTGCAGAAATCTATACTCACAACCATAAAAAGACATCCGTTACAAATTCCATTTCCTTATCGATCTCATTTTTAAACTTGGCTTTACAAACACATTGCATTAATGAGTTCTATTGTTAATTAGCAAATGTAAATAACATTATCATTAAAGGTAAAGATTAATTTGTACTTACAGTCTCTAATAATTCTTTAACGAGGTTTTCTACATTAGAAGTCAGTTTATAATTCGGATATTCAATGCTAGTTTGTAAATAATTCCAATCTTTTTGTTCAATCCACTCTGATTTACGAATCTTTGAACCAATACGTATGATACCAAGACATGACGGGCTACATATAAATGCAAAAATTAATATGTTGGATCAAGACATGAAGAAAAAAAATGAAGATTATAAAACTTACTGTGACTTATGCAGATTTTCAGGTCTACGAATTACTTCATCAATCGGGTTTCCAGAAGGCAATAGCCAAATATCATCTAGACTGTCTTGATCAGGGTACTTTGAGTGATTTTGTACAGGTATCTGTTGCTCCAATAAGTCGGACTCAATATTTGGATCTATATCATGATTATAATCTATTTCATCATCTGTCTCCAATGAAATCATAGAGTTTTCTGAAGTTGACTGCATTCGATTTTCCTTGCAACCGTCCATGTTTTCTGCTCTATCAGCGGTTTTTATCTGTGCGCACATCCACAAGGTAAGAAAAGGGCTATGTAACAAATTTAGAAAGGACCTTTATCGAACTCACCTTTTTTAGCGGAGACTCAATATTTGGCATTTCCTCCTCTTCAACTGATTTCCCAGGTTTTTCGTGACAGTTGTGATGCACATCTGAAATGTGTATCAGGTTGACGGCGCAGTGTGGCGCAGCGATTTTTTCCAAAAAAATTAAATTGCAATTTTTTTTATTTAAAATAAAATCTTTAAATTACTACACTAGATGTATTTTCGTCCGCTCTGCAAATTTACTTAGAGAATATATGGGTGGTTTAGAAGGCCATTTTCGAGTTATTTAACAAAAACTGTTTTTTCGACAAATCCAATTTTGGAAATGATCGGCAAAGACAATAAAATCAGTTGTTATATACTAAAGTCAAAATCTACTTCCAAAACCTCCTTCCATTTATAAGTGAATTTTGTAAAACAGATGAAAATACATTTAGTGTGTAAATTTGAAAATATTACATTAAAAAGAAAATCTTTAACTTATTTTTTTTTGAAATTACTGCGCCACACTGCGCCGTCAACCTGACACACATTTCAGACGTGCATCACACTGATGTAGGGATGTTAATTAAACTCAGTTTGAAACAGGTTTATGCTCAAACTAATATAGTTAGTTAGAAACTAGCGGATAGGACTAAAGCTCCGAACAGTTCCAGTTTGAACCGGGAACCGATCCGGAACCAGCAAAAAATTCGGTTCGGTTTTCGGTTCAGTTTTGGACTTGGAACCGTCCGGTTCGGTTCAGTTCTATCCGAAATTAAGAAAAAATGCAAAAAAACGAATATACAACTATCCAGTGATCGTACAAGGACGAGCCATAGCTCGTTGGAATCCTCTCATCGAGACGCGTCGAATGGTGGTAAAATCAAGTCTCTAGCATCGATAGATCACGAGATAGCAC